TTCTGTGGAAAAGGTGGAACAAACCATTTTATTCATAACATAGCAAATGCACTTATTGAATCTATAAATAGAAATAAATAACTTTTATAAAAAGAATTCAATTTTATATTTATATTGAATAAGCTTGAACTCCTGATTATTAATATCAAATAATTAATAAAATCTTTGAATTTTTAATTAAAAAATCTAATGATTTTAAAGTTAGTGAAAATATTAAAAGAATCGTTTATAAAAACAATTGCCAGTTATTATGTTGAAAATGAAATGACTAAAGATGAAGCAAGAGCTATTTTAAACTCTAATAATGACGAAAATGATTTAGAAGATAATTTTAATAGACTTTATACAATCAATTACAAATCTAAATATTTACAAAAAATCATTAAAAATGCACATAATCTGATAAAAGAATAAAATAAGTTAACCATTCTGTTTATATACGCATTGTAAAATAATTGATTGGATGTTAAAAACTTTTAAATTAACTTTGATTTTATTCTTTTTAATATTTTAAAGTGATTTGATAGTTTTTAATAAAGGGTTTTTAGTATAAATTTTGTTTGATTATTAAAAGAGTTTAAAAGAGATATTAGATTGTTGTATTTATTACATCTTAACTGTAAAAGTTAAAAAATTACTAAATAATACCTGAGTATTAGACATGTTATTTAGACTTTATAAATTAAAATTATTTCACTTACATTATTTAAGATAGTAGAAATATTTTACAACAGTATAGTAATATTTAAAAACATAATTGTTACCAGAACTCAATACATTTTATCTTAGTGGAATGAATTCAAAAATTGTAAATCAAATGTCAAATCTATCAAAAATCATAATTAAAAAGATTTTTAATTAAACCCCAATAATAATAAATAAAATGGTTAGTAAAGATTTATTAAACACAGACAGTATTGATAAAAAAAACCTAGTAACAGAAGAAGGTTCAAATGATAAAGATGAACATAGTTGCCATAGAGTCAAACAACAGCTGGAGCAAGAATTGGTTCGAGCGAACAATAATAAAATAAATATTGTCTTTTAAAAAAATAAAAGTTAATATTTTATTTAAATATTTTAGATTAAAACTATTGTATATATTTTATTGTTTATTATATTAAGAATAAAATTTATAATATTAATATATCTTTTGATAAATTTATAATTAAAAAATACTGTAACTATAAAATTATCAATAAAAACATTAATTTTTTAATATTAAATAAATTATTTTTT